AGGTTACCTGCGACAGCTCAGTTGGTAGAGCAAAGGACTGGAAAAGAAAGCAAGCACTTTAATCCTTTTCAGTCATTGCAAACGACAGGCAAACTGAATTACCCACAAGCTAGTTTGGCTGTACTTTGACAATAATGGACCAGTCCAATTTGAAATTAATAGTGGAATTTGATGGCTCCCCACTGGTCTGTCTATTGTTGAGCGGTTTGTGAAGGCGGAGCGTGTCTGCAAACTGTTCAAAATCAAGGAGCCCACATTGGTCATCCTGTTAATGCTAACAGGAGGTGCTTACGCAGTTTACCAGGAACTCGGGGACAAAGTGAATTTGTACGAAATCAAGTATGCCCTTTACACAGCATTTAGTACAGATGAAGCCATTGCTTGGAGGAAATTTATTGGGCAGCGACACCTCCCTGGGGGAGACAGTTGATGTGTACCTGGCCAACCTAAGAAAGCTGTTGGTACCATTCGGGGGCGTTAACGACTGGATACGGGCATGTGCATTTTTTTTCTATCCATTGATGTCAGCCAGCTTCTGTGAGCATCATCAAAGCCGGGGTTGATGGGTATCAACCAGCTACTGACTAGAGCCTGAAGCATTTTGAGGGAGTCAGAGCATGTTGCAGCAGCTGCACAGACAAAAGAGGCCATGTGTCAATCAGAGGAGAATGCTGCCGGCGACTGTTGCATCCCCATAGCTCAGGAGGGCCCCAAAAGCTACAAGTGTGGTAGTCCCAGCCACTTCTCCCAAGACTGCAGAAGTCGAAGTAATATGGGGAGCGGAAATCGTAGTAAACTGTGTTGATATCGCTGTAACAATCTGGGCCATCTTGCGCGGAACTGTCCGGGAAATGAGCAAGGAACTGTCGCCACCCTGCCCCCTGTCAATCAGTAAATACAGATTTACCCATAGTCAAGGTACATGTGAATGGCATGCAATGCTTGGCTCTCATTGATATGGGATGTTCCCATTCAATAATCAGTGCAAACCGCTGTCAGGCCTGGAAGGAGCAACATGTGACGATTAGAACGATTGACGGGATGTCCCATGCGTACTGAGGAATTGGAGTGATTTCAATCGTAACAGATGGAGGTGATTGTGCCAAGGTAGATGCACTGATGGTTTGTGACAAGCCTCTGGGGTACGATTTGCTGATCGGAATCGATGCCATATGTAAACTAGGCAGTGTTATGGTCATGCGTACTGGAGAAGTGCAGCTCGGGAGAAATTGTGAATCATGTGCCGCCATTACAATTGAGGAATGGGATTACTGCATCACCTATGACCAAGAAACAAAGACTTGGACAGCAGAATGGAAGGGGACAGGAAATAAAACACCAGATCAATTACGCATCACCGTTGCAGAATATATGGTGTCAAATAAGAACAGAGCTGCCTATGAGAGCGAACTGGAGACTTGGATCGTGAATAGCTGGCTGATACCATATCCGCAAGACTGATTGGGACCCCCAAGAGGATTAATCCCCTTAATGGCCATTGCACAAGCCACCAAAGTTAAGGTACAGCCAGTTACGGACTATAGGGAGATAAATCAATATGTAGATGCCTTCACGGCGGATGCAGACGTGTAAGCCGAACAAATGAAGGAATGGCGGCAGCAAGAGGCGCTGCTTGACCTGCAAAAAGCGTATCATCAAATATGAATCCATGAGACATTATGGCCTTTTGAAACAGTTATTGTCAAAGGAAAGAGGTACTGCTTGACATGTCTGGGGTTTGGTCTTAATGTGGCTCCAGTAATTATGAAATCAATCATTAAGACAGTGCTAGATCAGGATGAGCTGATGAAAAGAGCTGCATCGGCATATCTCAACGACATATGTAAATGAGGACATACTTTCAGCAAATGAAGTCAGGTGCAGAGTAGAATCCTTCGGCTTGTCTTACAAAGACCCTATTCAATTAAAGGATGGGGCCAATGTGCTTGGGCTTAAAGTCTGGGGGGAGCACAACACATTGCTGTGGAAGTGAGGGACCTTAGTTCCGGAACTCCCCGCTACACTAACGCGAAGCACAGTATTTTCCGTATGTGGGAAGTTAGTGGGGCATTTTCCCGTCTGCGGGTGGCTCTGTGCAGACACAGGAATGATAAAAAGATGAGCAAGCATGATAACAAATGGGTGGCATGACACTATAAAAGACACTCCTCTTATGCAGATGATTGTTGAAATGCTGACTAGAGTGCACCAAGACATTCCCGTTCGGGGAGATTGGTGCATCACTGGAGAAGAAGTCAATGCATGGGTTGATGCAAACTCCCTGGAATAGGTGTGGTGCTGGAAAACCGGGGAGTTATACTAGAAGATGTGTGCTGGCTTCAACCAAGAAATAACGTGCAACATATAAATTTGGCTGAATTGGATGCTGCATTGAAAGGTATAAATCTTGCATTACAGAAGCGGGCCAAGATGGTACACCTATACACAGACTCGGTATGCATGTACCAATGCCTACAGAATATTCTGACAGGCAAGACCTGAGTGAGGATGAAGCTGCAAGCGAAATGCTAGTGCACAGGAGACTGGCTAACCTATAGCAGCTAATCGAAGAATATGGTTTGGTAGTTGACGTCAAACTGACTACGTCACAGACGAACCTGGCCAATAAGTTGACTAGAGTACCAAAAAGATGGCTTGACATGTTGAAACAGGGATCAGAGCCACTGACGTGTGCGGCCGTTATGAGCCAGCTGACCATTGAACAAATCCATGCCATACATAGCAAGAGCAGTAATCCTAGTGTTCGATGTTCAACTTACTTCATCCAGAAAGTGTGTCCTGCAGTGACAAAAACGATGGTTAGGTTGGCCGTACAAGGTTGTGAGGAATGTTGTGTGGTGGACCTTGCCCCAGTCCAGTGGAACAAGGGCAAGCTCAGGGTAGACAAAGACTGGTAGCAATCATTTTCTAACTTTGATGGATTCCAGCCCGAAGCATTTCACTGTATGGCTCTCACTTGTGCGACAAGATGCATTATTGATTATACAACAATTACAAGCTATCTTCTATGAATGTGGTCCCCCCATTGAAATATCGACAGACAATGCCCTAACTTTCTGTAGCAGAGATTTTCAGGACTTCTGGTTGAATGGGAAGCACAGTAAAGGTACAGAGGCATATACACTCCAGAGGGTAATGGGATAGCGAAGCAGTGTCACTGCAGTGTTAAAAGGATAGCAGCCAGAACACAATGCTCCATTCAAGAAGCTGTGTATTGGTACAACGTCCCGCCCAAAAATGATGTAACACCATCAACTGTGCCAGCCAACGGAATATATACATACAGACAGCAGATAAAGGGGATAGATCAAGTAATGCCAAATATTCCATAGAATACCAAAGAATCATATAAAATTAGTGATCTTGTATACCGCCTCAGAAGAAGAGCATCACAGTGAAGATATATCGTCTGATAGTGATTTGGATACAACAATGTTTTGCACAATGCAGTCAGATGGTCTGCCCCTCTGTATCAGAGAGTACAGATTTGGACGACAAGGAAGGTCATGATGACACCAAAAATGCCAAGGACCCGCAAAACATAGATGTGGCATCCCCTCCACCTATACTAAGGAGTGTGCATTGGAGGCGTTCTCTACCACCCCTCCCCCCCAACTGTGATCTGTGTGATCATGAGATCAGGGAGCAGTGTGAGGAACGAGAAGACTTTTCTCCTGCAAAGTGAATTTGCTTGTCGTGTCAGATCCTGTTGAAAGATCACAACCGGCATTAAAAGTGAAAAGGATTATTCCGAAATTCCCATATTGCGGACAGACATACAAAAAAAAAAAAAAAAAAATAGAAACTAAGCATTCAAACCAGATTGAATTTATAAAATAGGAAGTATCAGGCAAATGAGAAGTAAGTCTCATATGCAAATTTTAGTTGCCCCCCCGACGCAGGCATAAACAGTGAGTCTGGGAGGAAGATGGGACAACTTTTGTTGGCGTGACAGCGTATGTGGGTATTAACGAGAATGAGAGAATATGGAAGAGGTCACTCGCGACAGCTCAGTTGGTAGAGCGGAGGACTGGAAAAGAAAGCAAGCACTTTCATCCATTTCAGTCATCGCAAACAACAGGTGAAATGAATTACCCACAATAGTGATTCGTAATTTTGCTCTCTACTTTTTGTAAAGACCCACCCCCACAAATCCCTAAAGGTATTTTCTTGAGGCCTCTCAGGTTTTGTGGCCTAGCACATTTGTAATGATCTTTTACACATTTCATGTTGCAATGTATCATTTTCCACAGATTATTTACAAAAATGTTTTTTTGCTAAACCACATTTTTATTTTATAACCTACCATGAATTCTATAGTGTAACATTATCAACAACAACTGTTATATCATGCACAAGTGTAGCAGATCTGTAGGTTACAGGAAGACTGCTGAGAATGATGATGATGATGATGAAGAAATCTGATCATCTTGGCAAAGGGAGAAGTAAACATAAAAATAACAACTTACTTTTTTGCATTAATTGAATATGTTTCATAAACAGGAAGCCTTGTTTATTTTCTGTTTTTTGCCAATGTTTGTAGAAAATGGTAGAGATTTTATAAGGTATAGTGACTTGTTACTATAGCCAAGAGCCCATCTTTTTCATTTGATAGACTTGGTTAAATGCATATTGTTTCATCCTATATCTTTGGCATTCATTTCTTCAACAATCTCATTTACAAGAGGATAAATTTGTATTGAACATTAGCAATATATGGCTCAAATTGTATTTTAAATATAGTGTGAAACATTTACTACAAATTTAAAAAAAAAATGTAAAATTTTTAAAAACATTTTCTTAAATAAGATACATTATGAAAAAGTTGAAAATTGATTCAAAAAACAACATTTTAGAACATAACTGGCAATAGATTCCTTGAGTAAAAACAACATAATCTACATAAGGTCATCAGTGATTATCTCAAATCAAAATAAGGAAAAAACATCTGCATTATACCGTTCCCTATATATACTCACCATCTGATTTCTCTAAATTAGAACCTTTACTGTAGCCAAGATAATACTCTTGTATTTGACTTTTCTGAAAAATAACAATAAATTTAATGTTTTAAAAATGAAAGGCTTTCACACTTGGGAAACATTTTAATACAGAATTGAAAAAACTTTTTTCATTAAGCTTCTCCACATACTTTATATGGTTCTTTTCTCCTTATGTTTCAGTAAATAAAATACATTGAAATAAATAGGTAATGTAGTAGAAAATCTTTTCATCAATGAAGTGAAGGGAACATAGATAAACATCCAATTTTTATTCATATAAATTCTGATTAATTACATACTCAGGTGTTTTTTATTTATCAATTCAAATTACCAATTCAAATTTGTCAATTCAATTACCCTGTTCGGAGTGTTGTCCTCATTTTACATAACTGCAATACCTCATGTTGAATATAGACAGATATCAAAGAATGATAATGATGAACTTAGGGGTTTAACAGATTTCTTGAGCAAAAGTCAATTTGTAAATTAGTTATAAGGAGTTATAATTTTTTTCAGATTATATTGATGGCCAATATGAATCTCTTAACATGTTTATCTGAATTATGACTTGATGCTTAAAAGAATAACAAAATGCTTTAGTATATCTTCTTTCATTACTTGCAATATTTACTTGGACTGTTATCCGAGTCTTCATTGCTATATGCACAACATTTCAGCTGTTGATTGGAATTTTGAACCAAACCCTTTATTTCATCAGTGAATTGATCTATTTCCCTTTAACTCAACTCTCCAAGTTTTGGTTCACCACTGCTGTGGCCTGGTATTGAACTCACAACTCTTTGGGCCTAGTCACTGGATCTAACCAATGTCTTTATCCACTGGGCCATGTCCTTGAGGACATCTATGCATTAATTTTTGGGACATAAACCTAATGTCTCAGCAACCATTTTTTATGTATATGTGAGGTAGCTTGGTGTAATGCTGTGACAACAGCCTGTATGTCTTAGGTGCGAAGACCTCCTTGCTCTTGATTAGGATCTGTGACAGTTTGTGTTCCGTTTTCTTTGTAGAATCTTTCTTTACTGTAGTTACCATTCACAATGAAGTCTTCCAGTTTTTCTGTATATTCTGATTTGTCCATCACTACAGTCGCATTGCCTTTGTCAGCTGGCAGTATAACAATGCTTTCATTACTCTGTAGGATTCTGATTGCCAGCCTCTCCAGTTTCATGATGTTTGATTTGGGCAGCTTGGCTTTCACCAGTATCTGTCTCACTTTCCATCTTAGCTTATCTGCTCTTAGCTGAGGAATGTTCAATGCTATTTCCTCAATTTGGGAAATGCACAATATGTACCTCTTGTACCTGTTTTTGCTTGTAGTTTCTGTGGGAATAAACAGGAGACATTACTTTCTAATGAGTTTTTCTGTATATTCTGATTTGTCCATAACTATAGTTGCATTGTCTTTGTCAGTTGGTAGTATGATGATGCTTTCATTCCTCTGTAGAGTTCTGATTGCCAGCCTCTCCAGTTTTGTGATATTTGATTTGGGTGGCTTAGCTTTCTCCAGTGTCTGTCTCACTTTCCATCTTAGTTCATCCACCTGAGCCTGAGGGAAGTTCAAGGCTATTTCCTTGATTCAAGCAATGATGTCCAAGTATAGTATCCACCTGATGGCTGTGGCAAAGAAGGCCAGAGCACACAATGGCCAAAACATTGTGAATATGGCAGTGAAAATGAGGATAACAGTCCGAGTAAAGTAAATAATGCAAATAATCATAATACCTAATCTCAGAGATATAGACAGATATTATCTTTTATTTGAATTATTGAACCACTTAGTCAAACAATACAAAAAAAATTGTCTACATGAAGTGAAACATTTTTAATGACAGCAATAAATGCCTAATTGAGCAAACCAGTCAGCCTACAAAGTAACTTATAAGCGCTGATGAAGAGAATCAAGGACAGGGTCTAAGTGGAAGCAACTGAATTATGGGTTTTTTTCTTTTTGCTCATTGTTTTAACAAAAAATGAACTGGTTTGTGACATTTTAAAGATATGTAGAAAAAAGAATGACTTTAAAATGACATGATATTTTTTTAGATCTTGTGGATTATTTAAATCCAAAACATTTTGGATTATAAGAATAATTCATTTTTTGCAAGTAAATATTTTACATTAACAATTTTTTGAGAACAACAATGATATTTTTTCCAGATACAACTCCTACAATTTAACCCACAGCTTTAGAAGATGGATTCATAAATTTCCTCAGGGGTATTTACATGTAAATGACTGTAATGAATTCGAACTCAGCTCTCTGATTTATCATTTCAAGCTGCTATCCTTTGCCCTACCTGCACATCCAGATAAATTACACGAAGAAATACAATGGCATTAAATAAAGAGCATATTTCGAGTTTAATGAAATAAAAAGGCAATAATAATAATTTTTAAACATTTAGTTAAATTAACTGCTATAAATTTGAAAGTTTGCTTTATTTTATTCTGCTGTCAAATATTCAAGAAAGAAAATCCCATTTTCGATGTGAGACATTAAAAAGACAGTGTGTAGAACTTACTTTACCCAAGTCTTTGTTTTCATGATATTGTCGCATATATTTACCATGGCAAAGTTCATAAGTCCAGAAACTCTCAATCTGTCTCATGAGAAAAAAGAAGAAGAAAAAATCAGAATGAAATATCAAATATTAAACAAGAGATTGAACATTTAGTAGATAGTTACACAAATTATTGTTCGCTGCATGCAATGATCTGTTACTAAATTAAGGACAAGTTAAATTGCTTTCAGTAAAACTAAATGCTTCATCTCTATCATTTCCTTGAATTAAACTTTATGTAAGGAAATGAGATTTTGTCTATATTTCTGAGATGAGGTATTATGTACATTATTTACATTATTCCAACTATTGTCCTCATGTTTGTCACCATATTTATTATGTTTTGGCCGTTTGTAGGCTTATAATATCCAGAAATTCATACACAGATGTCCTCAAGGACACGTGGATAAAGGCGTTAGTTAGATTCAGTGACAGGACCCAAAGAGTATGAGTTCAATACATGGTTAAGGCGGTGGAGAACTTGCAGGGGGAAATTAACAGGAGATAACTGATAACTGACATCCGTTAAACATGGCACGTGGAACTAGAACAGTCTAACCCAGTGAACGAAATAAAGGGACATTCCAACCACCTGAAGAAGGCCGGAGCGTACAATGGCTGAAACGTTGTAATAAATATGGCGACAAAGATGAGGACAATAGTACGAATAATGGAAATGAGATTATTTTAAGAGTTTCATTACTGATAAAAAAAAAAACACTTAAGAAGCATATTTAACTTGTAGTGAGTCCCTATAAAAATAAAATATATAAATAAAAAGAAAATAAAGCATTTGTGCTTTTCTTTAAAACTCTTATCTCATTCTTTCCTTCTCTCTATATACCCCCTCTCTCTCAAATGACAAGAAGGCAACCCTCAAATAAAAAGGAGGAACAAGAAAAGACTGAAACTGGCAAAAAACAAATTTGCAGGATCAGAGTCTATTTATTTGTGATTGAAAAATACTGAAAATCGGGGTGACTCCAGGCATAACTTCCATTATAAAAAAAAAAAAAAAAGAAAAAGAAAGGAACACTGGAAAACAAAATAATTTTAGCCAATTGAAAAAAAAATTGACACAAAGAAACTTTTGATGTTATCCGAAACTGTAGCAAACATAGTGAACCAGAACCGGAGTCAAATGGCAAAAATGGTGAACAAGACTTGCCTTATTCTTGACGAAAGAGAGTTTGTCTGTCTGGCATGTAGGACTTCAATTTGAGAGAGAGCGAGAGCGTTGTTCCGTTAAACAAGACCTTTCTTTGTTGTCCCACAAGAAATTGGGTCATTAACAACTTTACATAATATTAGTGTAGTTGGACGGAATTGAGGTAAGACGTGTGTGTGTGTGTGTGCGCGTGTGGTTGTGTGTGTGTGTGCTCCATTCTCAGGTGCCTGTATGCCTAGTATGTTTATTATCCAAGCAAGTGATTGGTGACTTGTGATTATAAGTGGAAGAAATGTCCAGTCTGAAATTTTGTCCCATAACAGAGCTGCTAATTTCTTTTGACCACAGAAACCAATGTTTGGAACCTGGTAAAAAGGATATAAGCTGAAAACTGAGCTAGAAGCAGAATTGACAACAGGAGAGGACAGAACAAAAGAATGTTGCTGGTAGAGAAACCAGCTCATGCATGATGTGTAAAAAAGTAGTTAAGAGGTCATCTGCTAATGATATTCCTACCCTGCTTAAGTGCAAGAAAAACACAGCAGACTGACAATGACCTATTTCTAAGTTTACTACTATCCCTATCATAGTCTGACTTTAAAACACCACTACCAGACATTTCTTCAGACTGCTACCAATATCCACCTTATTTTGCTACACTGAATACATAAGAACTCACTTATCACTCTAAAGTAAGTAAATAAAAATATATTATTTTATACCCTTGAGTCCGTTCCTTTTATTCCCAAAGTTCCAATAAAATAATTATCTTACCAACTACCAACACCACATAACTATTATGGTGACCTGACATGAACACGCTTACTTTTCATCAATAAACACAGAAGAATTTTCTTATTAAAATTAAGTAATATATTCAATATAAAAAAAAGTAGAACAGCACAAATTCTTTCAAATAATTACTTGAGATAATCCATGGCACCTGAAAATAGCTTTAAATACAAATTAACCAAGTTCATAATATTTTTTAATTTGTTAATGCTTACAGATTTTTTTTCTTTATATTATGTAAAGTTATTAAAAATGAGTTTATATTTAAAGAGTATAATTTCCTGTTTTAACATATGATGACCTTCTAGATATGATTAGCTTATTATGAATAATTCAAGAACAATGAAAAGAAGGAGATAAGACAATCCTTACTCTGTATGAGCAGAGCTTCTGATTAAACATTCTCTGCATAATTTCACTGGCTGATTCCTGAACATAGTCCTTTTCATGCTTCTGAAATACAAAGAATTGACATTTGTTACATATATATATATACAGATTTATAGTAAAACAACTACTAACAGTTTAACCATGCCATAAAAAAAAAAAGAAATATATATTAAACTGATATTTTGTTAAGTCCTTACTCTTATAAGGTGCTTTCCACCAGCAAATCTTTAAATCTATTCTTTCCAGTTATTATTACTGTACTTTTCTCTTTCATGGAGTCAGTCTTTTCACTTCCTGGCTTTGTAAACATTTTTTGAACAGTCTGCCATTACCATTGAAAGAAAGATAACTAGTACAATAAAAAGTTATAAAATTATATATATATATATATATATATATATATATATATATATATATATATATATATATATATATATATATGGGCAGCATACTATAGGCTAATACTATAATGGAGCTGTGATTGCAGATGTATAAAAACACAAATTAAAGTAAAAACACAAACTTAGGCATAACCACATAAACCAAAAGTGAAAATAATATGAGATTGTTTTTTTGTAAATATATTTTACAAAAGACCTGACAGAGAAACATTAACAATATTGAAAGTTGGAAAGAGGGTGTTGTTTGTTTTCCAATAATGGGTGAAAATCTTAGTACAGATTATACATAGTAATTCCTTGGGACCAATCTGAAATTTATGAATTGATTTACTCTTCAAAACTTAATGCTTGGTCAATATGAAAAACTAAGTCAAATATTAAACACTCAAAAGAATAATTTCTAAAGTGATATACAACTTTATGTCACTGTATCTTTTGTGCACTCTATCTTTCCTGGTTTAATCAAAGTGATAGTCATTATTACTTTGTAGATTGCAGTTTAAAAAAAAAACAATAGTTGTTTGCATTGGGGTAGTAGATTCTACAACATAATTCACCCTTATTGGGTTACTTAATGTTGAAATCAGTTTTTGTTTATGCCAGATTCCCAAGGTAAACATTGGTTGTGTTCATACCAGAATCCACAGGTAAACATTGGTCCAGTGGCAAAGGGTGGCTTTGAAACTGAGGCATGCAGTCCATGATGACCGTTAATGGTTACGAGAGAAATCTGAGAAAATAAAATCAATAATGACATATTTAAAACTTATTTATTTGTAAATTAATTCTCCATTTCTTTTTGGCAAATTCATTGATCACTTTGTTGGGGAAAGTATCAGTACCATGTGCTACTTTCATCTTTTTCAAAAGGTCTTTATTTATAAATGAAAACCAAATTACTCTATCATTACTTTGAGAACATCTCATTCACACATTTCAATAAAGAAAATGACCTCTCCCAGGAAGCAAATGTGGCACACATATGGTCAGAATCAGATGTAGTAATTTAGTTACTTCTGCTATATCTTCTGCTATATCTTGGGTCAATACAAGTTCACATATGTCTGTAGCTTCTTGGAGGCTCAATGCTAGTCTTGTCAAATCTGCAGCATAAACTGATTTCTGCTTTTACTTCAATAGATTTAAATCAAATTTGTTTTTATAGATACCCAAACATGAAAAATGCTTCTATCAAAAATCTTTTTTGTAAATGTGAAAAAGATTGAAGTTTAACAATTCAACAGATCTGAACTCCCCTATTATTTTAAATCTTTGCTCCACTTAAATAAGAACTTCATCCAAAACATTGTTAAACAAAGTTCTTGAAACAATTTTTGGTTCCCGACATTGACCATACTTAACTTATATCTATACCCCAGCTGTAAAATTCTTAAAATCAATCAATTGTTTCTTTGAAGTTTTCAATCCAACAAATATACCTTGAAATATTATGAATGTTTTTGAAAAATATTGAAAATGGAATCTCTGCTTGTAAAATTGGTCATGCCTAAATTAAGAATTTATATTCCTTAAAATTCTTTATTCTTATAAAAAAATTTAGGCAAAAGACATTTTGCTATTAAAATTTTGGCAATGTTTAACCTTCGTAGCTATAAAAAAACAGTTTCAATATTATAGTTGACACTGCTATTAGTTTAAACTAGTAAAACTCTCTTAGCAATGTTTATTTACAAAATTATAAAAAGACATGAAACAATGCAATATCTGTTATTTACCATAAATAACTATGAAAACAATTTTTTTATTTATAATTTCATAAAAATATCTATAATATAACTATAAAAAAAAGGAAATTTAAAAAAAAAAAAATGATTTTTCTTTACATTATACATTTTCTTCTCAAATTATTTTTGATCTCAGATTACTGCTTGTTTTAATTTTACATTATTATTTTTAGAATAAAAATTGTAATCTAGGAATCCTAATCAATAGACATCCAAGACAATTGTAGGTTGCCACACCTCCTTCCTACTCTTTTGAAAAAAAATAATTTTGAAAATTTTTAAATCTCTGCTAATTTTTCTAAAAATGCCTAGAAAATCTGCCAAGAGGTTTATTGTCAGCTAAGTACTGACAGATGAAGAAATCTTAAATAAAGGATGGACACTAAGCACCTTGACTAAAGCAATTAGCAAAGCTGGTGGATTGTGTTCTTTGGAATGATTGGCAAAATATCAGCAAATTGCCAATTGATTCAAATTTTATAAAATAGCAAATAATAAAAATTTCATTATAGTTCACATATTTTAATGATTTAGTAAATTTTTATAAATTTAAGAATAAAAAAATTTTATATTTCATAAACAGCATTTAATATTTTTGTTGTAAATTCTCAAAAAATGTACAAATACACTTTTAGAGGTTTGAGCTTTATTAAAATCTAATTATTGCTTTTTAAAACAATAAACATTGCCAAGGGAGTGAAGGTATTACAAAATAATAGTTGTATCAAGGGAGAAAATTGTCCTTTTGACACTGTTTTATTGCTGGCATGAAGGTTAAACTTTGCCAAAATTTTAATATCCCAACATGAAAATACATACACTGATGAGAAATAATTTTAAATATTTCTTAAAAGGCTTTTTGCTTTCTTGTTTTTACTTACTGGGATCTATATTGAATTATTAGTTGAATTTAAAAATCTAAAAAATGTCAAATATTGTTTTGAATAAAAAAATCAAGAGCTAAGTCAGATTATCCACAAGATTTAAACAAAATGCTGTAACTGATTAGATTTAGCTGTGTGAAAAAAAAAAGAATGATGATGAAAGGTACTGATTTTTATAAAATCATCTTAATTTAATGATTATTTTAATTTTGCTACAATTTTAATTTCAATATTTAAGAAATTGCTCATGTTGTCTTTTTATTTTATTTTTTTAAAAATAAAATTGAAAATATTCAATCATTTCAATACAATCCTTATTGAAGAATGTTAACATTTTGATGATTTTCCTCTCTGGGTGATCACAGCCAAAGCAGAACATCAAGAAGAAGCTATCTTTTCTTTTTTTTTTAGTTCCTTCCCCTTTTAATCTTAACCTCTCAACCTTCTTTCACTTACTTCTTCCATGTACTTTGTGCATAGGTCACAGGAGTGGTATATGGAAATGGGCTTTCCCCGTTTACACTACTAATGTCGCTTGCTCACAATTTATCTTAAGAAATGAAGGAATGGGAGATTTAAAAAATCATGAGAGCATGGAGGATAGTAAAAATTATCAATAATTAATTATTTTTATTACAGAAAATGATTTATCCTGAAAAAAAAAACAAACATGGCAATGCATATAGTCTCAGTCACTGCATTAGCTGTTTTCATACAAAAGTCTGCAAGCATCCATTTAATAGGAAGCCCATTTTGTGAGATCTTTCCCCCCTCTGCAGATGCTGTCAATGTATTCTATGTCCTACTGACAGTAGTGTGTTTTTGTTATAAATATAATAAGATTATAATGAAATTCTTTCACAATGCACTTCTATATATATATAAGGTGAGTTGATTTTAGCACAAGTACACAATAATGAGGCACTCAACAATGATTGAAATTGCTAAATGACAGTCACATATAATCCAGTTTTTAACATTAAGAAAAGAATAATGATAATGTAGTGTTTGGATTTTTCTGTACTTTTTTATTTATCTTTTTCTAACTCTAGTTTAAACTTGAAATTCACGCACCACTAAGTTTGAATGGGAAAATATGTTTAAGTTAAATATCAAGTGTTTAGGTCATGTGATTGATTTATACAACCGAAAACAAAAAGATTTTTTTTTTTATTTTATCACAAAATTTGGTGCATTAACTAAAATGAGGGAGAGTGCTACAGAATGCAAAGACTAGTGCCAGAATGGTCAGTAAGTGGCTGGAGTGCCTCATGGACATTGTATTCTGATAGTGATGGATTGCCTTTGTCTGAGTTTTGGATAAAAGTTCAAAACAGCACAAATTCACAGAATCACAAGAATTCTGAAATTCTCCCACACTCAGGTTAGCAACTGGCCAAGACCACCCATGGAGGGATGCTGAGCCAATGTGCAACATGCATTACTGTGATGTCAGTCCTCACTATGCCTCTTAGAATCCAAGCTGCCACCACTCTCTCCTAATAAAACGAATTAGAAAAGGGAATGATCCTTTTTGTTGATATCACTTTATGTGGCCGCATGGGAACCCAGAGATGACACAGAACGCAACAAGAGAAAGACTTACTGTTGTGAAGTAGACGTTAGCACTAATCAGCCGCTAGACTCGTACTTCTGGTGGTTATTCACAGTGACCACTTATAAGAGTGTTCACTTATGCCTATGCAAATTATGCATAATAATTTGCTAGTATCACTACATCTCCCTGAACCTTAAGGGCTTTATTCCTCTCGTAGATTTTGTACTCCTTCTTCTGCTATTTTCATCACTCTGCTCTATTTCTCTCTCTCCTGTATTTCTTTTCCTGGGAGACCTCGATTTGTCCTGAGCTAGGCTGTAGTCACATGTGTTTTCTTGCATAATCTGGTCTTCGTCCGAACTTTCAGACTCCTTCTGGCCCTCTTCATCCTGCATTGTTTCCTTCTCTGATGTTTCCTTCTGTAATGGTTGTTCTACGAACTCATTATCAGATGGAATTGACATTTCTTCGTCAT